TTATTCAATAAAGAATAAGGTTAGTTACATGTACAGAAGGAAGGCTTGCAAAAATAAAAACTCATAACAAAATTAGTAATACACAATTATTAAACATAATTATTGACATTTTTCATCTGTTTACTTTAGTTTAATGCGAGTCATATAAGCAAAATTAGAAGGGTCAAATGAAGGAATGCATTAATCAATTAATAAGATCATTGGACTATATATAAAACTGAGCCATGCATTGTCAACTTCTTATATATTATTGCCACAGACTAAATTGAACCTAGTTCACAAATACACATTACATAACAAACAATTACATGGACACAAGAAATAAGGGATTGGTCCTACACTAGGTGAGTAAATTCATGATATATACAACAATCTTGATTATTAATGACTACCCTACATGATATTGCATATATATATGTATATATACTAACATAGTTGTATTTTGCAATAATAAAAATAACCCAATGCAATGTATTCCAAGACCGTTTGATATATATATGATGTTAAGGTTGGCCAAAATTTCTATAGAACTTCATATGCATACATACATGCTTACATAAATACAACATAATTAATCTTGATGTAGCCATTAGTTATTCTCAAAATTACTAGTTTTCCCATTTTTCATCGATGTGCAAATATCATGGATTTATAATCATAAATACAATAATACAGATACGCATATGACTAGTATTAGGTATCCAATTTCATTCCTCAATAAAACCAATAAAGATTAGCAATTAAAATTGTAGATGAACATAATATAAGAGTATAATTGAATTATTCTATTAATAAGTATGTGGCCTTAAATAGGCTTATAAGAGTATAACGAAACCTAAGGAAGAATAACAAACCTTAAAGATGATTTACAAAGTCTGTGCTAGATATTAGAGATATATACAAGCTATATCTATCTATATGTAGCTACCCAACAAACCAAGAAAATAGGAATTCTAACCACTTGACTAGTTAAGCAATTAGCTTTATGTTTATCATCAATCAATACATAGTAAAAATTAGATAGTTGGTCAATATTAAGGATGCAAATTAGAATTGATTTCCTAGTCATTATCTTGGGCTTTGGGTTGAACTAACGTTTAGGAGTATTGCCTCACATAAAAAGAAGCCTTTACTTAATCTTAACAATATAATTCTATAATATTTTTGCATAACAAGCTAAATATAGAGTACAGTTGACTTTAGCAATTCTTATCTCTAATAAACAAGAGGCTTAATAGAGGTTAAATCAAAATATATGAGAATTAACTACTTTACGTTTTCGAAGTAATAAGAAAAAACAGAGTCATTAAATCCTTGTATAATATATCAACCATCATCTAATAAAGCTTATATAGTGGTTTATTATAAAAGAGTATCAATGATAACCATTAATCATTAACAACAGTATACTAATTTCCTTAATAGAGGTTAAATCAAAATATATGAGAATTAACTACTTTAGTCATATATAATTAATATAATTAATCTCAATACGTTGAGAATAAGAATCAATTAATACAATAGAAATATTCAAGTATAATAATCATGAAATTATATGAACAATAAGCTATTTAGTCAATTCAATAAAACAATAGATTATGCATCAGTCATTGTTTTTCAGCAGCAAATTAGCATATCAACAAGCAAATTAAGGACTTACACGGTTACACCCCTATATTTACTCTCGGTGAGGATTGATATTTAACCCTGATAATAATCGATTAACTATCTTATTTCTTCGCTTTTCAAGCAGTAGCAATTAATCACGTCTCCAAAGATTGATCTTGTAAATTTTCCGATTGGTTAGAGAATGGTGCTGATAACGTGTTAAATATGGAAGAGAAAATAAAGAGAGATAGGAGATAAATTGGGGAAAGAATCAATCAGTCTCTCTTATTCCATAGATTGGGGGATATATATAAATACAATATAACAAGAGTTTTATTAGATAATAATAAACCCTAGATCTAGAATATTCCGAAATGATAAAAGGAGGATAATGGATATCCACACAATATCTCATAACATTAAAACCTTTTTTTTTTTTTTTTTTGACAGGAAGAAGAATATTATCATTAATAAATAGTTATACGACATTTACAATAATAATAAATATTTGTAAACCACAGATCTAGAGAAAATAACATAACTTTTACAATCAAAATCATAACTATTTTGCATATCAGGCATAGCTCACACTCCACCGCTTCAAACTTGACACGAGCAGTGATTTTTGATGTCTTTGCATCTTTCCAAGTAAAGACCTTCGCAATCTGTGCTGATGTTTTGATTGTAGAGTTGATGACGAACCCTAAACCCATATGAATCCAAATCACCTTCTCAATTATAATTAAAACCCTAAAAAAAAAATTATCATCCATAGATGAGAATCAAAATTCTAGAAAATTGGAAAAACCTAAAAGTTTTGGGATAAACTCTCAAAAACGGAGAGAACAAAACAAAGCAAAACAAATCAAATAACAAATAAGCAAATTAAATTAAAGAAAAAGGGTCGAAAATAGTCTAATTTCCAAAGAAATTAGACTATTTTCGGCCTAAACGGCCAAGAAAATTAAAACCCTAAAGAGAGAGGAGAGAGAAAAGGGAGGCATGTTTTGTTGTAAAATGGTTAAACATTTATAACAAGATAAGAAGCACAAGTAATATATGTATGACTAGGTTAATTCCCGTGTCATGTGCAGTAATTTTCAATAATCATTATTAAACTATCATTATAATTAGCTTTTTACAAACAAAAAAAAAATCTAAATATATAGTTGACACATTTTGATCAAAATAAAGGGTTACAGAAGATATGTTAGATATAAAATGATGTAAACAATGATCAAAATTATGTTAAGAATGTTTTTTTTTATAACTATATAAATATTATGTTAAAGATATGTCAATTTTTTTTTTATTTTAAGTTATTATAATGTATAAGATTAGGGAATTATATTTGTATAAGATTTGTTTCTTTAATAGAATTTTACTAGATTAGTACTCGCGCGTTGCACGGTGGTGATCAGCAATTTTTTTCATATTTCTTTTATATCTTTTGTTGTTGATAACTTTTTAACATGCCTTAGCTCGCTTTTTATTTTGTAAAAATAAAGTTTGTTACTCTATAAATATTTTAAAAAAAAAATTTAAAAAAACATGCACATCATCCTTTTTTTTTTATTTTTTTTAATGATTATAAATTTAATGCTACATCATAATATTTACTATGTTATTGAAAATATACTAAAATGATGGTTAGAATAAATATACTTCGTATAAAATATTGCATTATCTAATGAGCTTATACATTTAGAGTGGAAGCACAACAATATTGATGTCAAAGTCAGGTTCGAATATTTAGTTTCATACCTACTTGGTTTTAGTTTATAGCAAATAAAATGAAAAGGCAAAAAAAAAAAATAAAAAAATGATGACATCATATGTAAATTTGGAGGGAAATTTTTAATGAGAGCTTGACACATAAGACATTTTAGGAATTGATAACATCAGCATGTTTTGTTTTAGTAATAGTTAATAGATTCGGTAAAAAAAACCAAAGACACACCATGAGATAACACGTGTCATTGCTGCTGGTTTGTTTTTTAGTACTCCGTATATATATAGTTATTGATTGATTATTGATACAGAGTAATAAATTTTGAGAACAATTTTGCAATGGCTACAATTTTTATAGCCACTTTAACTTTATAATCATAATCATTCATTTTTAACACTAAATCTACACCATTCAATAAGTTGATCAAACAAATTAAATTGTCCACTAGATATAATTTTTTTTTTTTTTTTACCTAAAGTAGATTCTCTTTGGCTCTTTCATTCCCTCTATTTTCATGAATCATGATGCCCTCTCATTTCATTCAAGGCTTTAAGCTATTTACATGGCTAATTAACTTAACATCATTCTCATCTTTATTTTATTTTCCAGCGTGATGGGCATTCTTGATTCGAGTAAAAAGTTCTTTAACATGATAGCTTGATTTGCAAAATTGCAATATGCATTCTTCATCACTTAATATATATTGTTTTGCACAAATTCTTATATGTGGTTGGTTAACTAGTGTGATAAGTCTGTATAGGGATTATTTCGTCAGTTTTATAGGTTTTTTTTTTTTTTTTTTTTTTTTTTCTGAGAATTTTTTATAGCGGTTACTCGGTCAATGTTACAGGGGATATTTCGTCGGTGTTATGTGGGTTACTCGGTCGGTGTTACAGGGTTACTTTGTTCTTTTATAAGTAGTAACATGGCATTTAGGCTTGTTTATGAACGTCTTTTAATATATAGTATAAATTAGGGGTGAGTATGGGTTGAATACCCATACCGTTAACACTATTGGTTCGGGTACCCGATAACCAATAACACTAAACATGATATCCATTAACAGAATCGATAAGTTCGGGTACCCGGATTTTTGAATCGGTTATCGGGTACCCAATGTGCTATCCAATAATGAAAATTTAGACTTTATAATCTAGTTATTATGATATCATTCAACACTAATAATTAACAATAATACCATATGATCATGACCAAATTACTTATAATATTACTAACCATTTAAATTATGAAGTGATTTATGAAGTAAAGTAAGAGTTTAGATTTTGGATAAATAGATTTAAGTAGGAAAAAAAATGAAAAAATTGCTTGTCGGATCGGATTGGGTAACCGTTAATTTTAAAACAATACTCAATAATCGTACCAGATAACAAATTATCAGATCAGATACCTGAACCGTTATGGTTATCGAAACGGGTACCCTAATTTTCGATTCGATTACGGTTCGAATTTTTGGATAATTTTGCTCAGCCTTAATACTATAGATAGATTTTAAACAAACAAACAAGACTGAATTTTGAAAGGCTTTGGACCGGACTGAATTGAATACCCTTTTTAGAATTTCTCGACCCAGAGAACAAACTTATTTCTTTGGTCCGGTCCGTATCAAAATTGATTTCCTTTAAACCCTGCCTACTCCGTATCAAAGGCAGCGAAAACAACACACAATAAAAAGCACTAAAACCCCAGCTTTAATACTCAAATCAGGCTAAGTTAACAGAGGATTCATTCATTCATCGTTTGGAATTCGCTCAAACTACCAACTGAAATTCTTTCTCCAATCTTAGCAATCCAGAGTTTCTCAATTTGCAGAATTTGCATGGTTTTGGGTAATTTAGAAACCATCACCAACAATGGCGGAAACCGACCCAAGCAAATTGGTATGCAGCACTTGCGATTCCCTCGGCCTTTACATGGACGACGATGGCCGCTTCTACTGCACCAACTGCAACTCTCAAGCCGCAGACATCATCGACAACGCCAACGCCGACGAAGATTTCATCGACAAAGGCATCCATGGCGGCGCCACCTACAACGCCGCCCACAGACGCGCTGTCCCTGTTCCTGCCCCCGACAATGAACCCCACGACGCCCATCTGGGTCCCACTAAACCTGCTGATTTTGGGAAGACCCTTAAAAGGGGTGATTTCAATGAAGAAGATTACTACAATGCTATTCGTAAGAGATATGTTTTGGGTCTTCAGTTGATGGTTCAGTTTCAGTGTGAATCTCTTGTGCAGAATTTTGGTGTTACTCCTTTGATTTGTGGGATTGCTGCTTCTATTTGGTTGCGTTTTGTTGCTTCTACTAAGGTTTTTGATGATGACTGGGCTGATAAAACTATCATGGATTCTGAAACTGGTAAAAAAATTTGTTATTATTTGTGAATTTTGATGTTTTTGTTCTGTTGATGATTTGGGTATGGTTGCATTGATTATTTAGTGAATGTCTAATACTATTGACTTGTATTGAATGTAGTTTAGTGATTGATTTATGGTTGCATTGGTTATTTTGAGAAGTTAATTGGGTATGGTTGCAATTTGTTATCTTGAGAATTCTATGTGCTACTAACTCGTGCCATATATAGTGTAGCAATCGATTTATTGGTATGACTGCATTGGTTATCTTGAGAGTGTCTTAGAATATTGACTTGTGCCGAAGATAGTGTAGTGATTGATTTTTTGGGTGTGGTTCATAAGTTAAATTGAGTATGGTTGCATAAGTGTCGATTAGTGCTGCTTGAGTAATTAGAGTTTTGGTTTTGCGGTTTGAATGTAAAGTAATTAGAGTAATTTGATATGCTAGGTGGTATTTCATGTATTATTAAGCTTAAGTTGAGACCAGTCTGTTTCTGTTTGAAGCCTTTGTTTTCTCAGGCACTTCAACATTTGTCCATATATTAGTTAGTCATTTGGCCTACGTATTCATGTAGAGGGCCTCGTTTTTGTTTTCAGGTGAAAAGAGATTACAAGTCGGAAGCCATTGTGTAAAGGAGCCTCGAAATATGCATAACGAACGTATGGTAATCATATGGATTAGATCTTTGAAAAAAACGATACCCTTATCATGCTCCTTGGCTGTTTCATATTTGGCCTGTCATATTGCTAAAGAACCGGTTCTTCCAACCGACATTATAAAATGGTCTATTGAAGGGAAGCTTCCTTATTTTGGTGCTTTTCCTAAGATTGCTGAATCCATCATACAGATTGAGAAATACCATCAACATGCTTCAGTTGTATGTCCATTAAAAGCAAGTTCTATGTTTAAGCCTAAACAACTTCCTTTACAGAAGTTGGAGTCGATGGCAGCATCTATAGCTCAATCTGTAGGCCTGAATTTGCCTCCGGTCAACTTTTACCGAATAGCTTACCGTTATCTAAAGCAGTTATCTCTTCCTGTGGAAAAAATTCTTCCATATGCCTGCCGCATACAAGAGTGGTCAATGCCTCCTGATTTATGGTTGTCTGCAAGTGAGGAAAAGCTTCCGTCTCGTGTTTGTGTGATGTCAATACTGATTGTCACAATTAGGGTTCTATATAATCTCAATGGTTTTGGCAAGTGGGAATCTACTCTGTCTCCTCCAATTGTCTCTTCAAAGGATGGTCAGGCAGCAAGTTTTGAGAAGTCCAATGCAAAGAAAGGGGCTGAAGAAGCATCTACAAATTTGGGTGGAGAACCTGAGACAAATTTGTCGTCTGTTCATAAATTTGAATCTGATAGCACTGAGCTTTTGCGCAACCTCGAAAAGAAATACGATGATTTGAGTGATAAATTTGGTAATGTTGGAGCACTTTTTTCAAATAACAAAATATTCACTGCCCTAGTTATCTACTTTCAAATATATATCTATGTTTTGTTGTGTTGTTTGCTTTGTTTCTTTCTCATTGCCCTTTTATTATTCTCTCGATTTGGCAGAATATTCCAAAGATTTACCAACCTATCTTCAGTATTGCAAGGATGTTGTATTTGCTGGTGTCGAGCCATTATACAAGGATCCTACTTTTATAGAAGAACTTTGGGATTTTTATGAGAAAAATCGAGAGGTACATTGATTAATTTTTCTGATAAGCCATAGCCTTTCTTTATCAAAATATATATCTGCATTTACTACTATCTTTGATTTACTAATTTCTATTATTTAGGGGTCGTTTGGTTCGCTGTAATGGGGAAAGGGAATGGGAATGATTCCCTTTGTAAGCGTTTGTTTTGCAACTTTTGTCATTCCCTTTCTCCATTTTTATTTTTGGGTTTACCCATTTTTATTCCATCCCCATTCTCCACCCCCCTACCTTTACTATTCCCTTTCCCCAACCACCGCCATAGCCACATCCCACCAACCTCGCGGATGGTCGCCGGCTCTCCCCGACCTTGGCTCCACCTTCGCCGGCTCTCCCCGACCTTGGCTCCACCTTCGCCGGCTCTCCCCGACCTTCGCTCCACCTTCGCCGGCGATCCCCGACCTTCGCTCCACCATCACCGGCACTCCCTCGACCTCGCTGCACCTCCCCCGACTTCGCTCCACCTTCGCCGGCACTCCCTCGACCTCATTGCACCTCCCCCGACCTTCGCTCCACCTTCGCCGGCGATCCCTGACCTTCGCTCCACCTTCGCCGGCACTTCCTCGACTTCGCTGCACCTCCCCCGACTTTGCTCCACCTTCGTCGGCACTCCCTCGACCTCGCTGCACCTCCCCCGACCTCGCTGGTCGCCGCCGGAATTCCAAACTACCAATTTCCAGAAGAAAAAAAAGTCAAAATAATACCCTAAATGGTGGTGGTTCCATGGAATCATTCTCTTTGTTTTTTTTTTTAACAAACAACACCCTAAATTTCAAGGGTTTCATTCCATTCTTCTCCATACCCTTTCCCCATTCCATTCCGATTCCACTTTGCGAACCAAACGGCCCCTTAGATAATGCTAACCTGATTTATGCCTTCATGAAGTGGTTGGTGCTATGGCTTGAATACTTTGTTACTCTAACACTCCAATATCGTGCCAAATCCTTCTTCTTCATTCATCCAACACCTAATATAGATAAGGATGCTTGGGTGGGATCTTTGAAACACAATAGGGAAATTTGCAATGATTTCTGCATTTGTGTTGGATACTTCTAAGAATTCAATTCTTTGGAAAAATCTGAACAACATCGATTGAGCAGTTAATTCTCCTGGAGCTTAGTTTTTACAAAGAGGAACATTTAACATGGAAGCACTGACTTCTTCACAGCAACATAGTGTATTTGGTGAATTGCAAGACTCAGTGCACCAAAACAAGCTACCTGATCTGAATTCATCACTTCAGTCCTTTTTTGCCCTTCTGAATTAATTCAGTTAATAATAGCTCAATTACTTTGGTAGAATGAATGTGAATATTTCATTATAATACTCCCTTCAACTCTTTTTTTTTTTTTTTTTTTTTTTTTTTTTTACAGAAGGGTTTGGTACATATATTCAAGCTTTGATATGGGTGAGGTATCCTATCAAATAATAAGGAGCATGTGATTGTTTAAATATTTTTAAATGGAAGGTGGTCAGTGGAGCATATGGCATACTTTGAAAGAGAGAGATAAATATGAGTTAATGTTTGTACCCCTAAGGGTATTTTGGGGAATTAAATAGGTGATTTTTACCCCCAATGAGAAATGTGAAACAATTCAGGACACCCTTATTAAGTAACAACAACAACAATAACAGGGCGTTAGTCCCAAAATGATTTGGGGTCAGCTAACATGAATCGTCATAAGGAATTGTCCACAAAAAATGGAATATATCCAGAATATTGATTAAATAAAAGTGGGCAGAAAAAAAGAAATGGTTGTGTAAAGTAAGAACAAAAAAAGGGTATACAAATTAATATAAGAGTTTTAATGGAGTGCTAAGTAAGTGTGAATAAATTGAGGGATGGAGGTGAGAGTAGCTATTATTTTACTAGTCAAAACAAACATGGTTTAAATGATTTATAAGTATTCTTGCAGAACGTGGTGCCTCAAGTCTGTAATGTGTGTGCCACAATGTTATGCTTTGGGCTTCCATTTGTTTGCCTATGCTTAAACATATATGGGAACAATTTGTAAGGTGGTCCAGATTTTCCAGTAGTTTAGAATTCGCTGTGAATTCTTGTTTTTGCCAACTGGTAAGTGGTAACTAGCATTAGTAACTGGTAGTCTGGTAGACGGTAGAAATTTGGTTTCTTTATTGAATTAAGTCACTTCTATTGTGATGAATATACTGAGAATATATTGTACATCTTTGTTCTTTTATCTTTTTTTTTTTTTTTTTTTTTTTTTTTTGAAAGAATCATTGTATTTTTATTAACAAGGAAGTTCTCTTCAGGACATTAAAACATCTGGGGAGTTTGAATCTGGATCAAATCAGAAGAGGTCAAGGGACAATGATAAATTTTTCAGTACCCCATCAAAGGACAGCAAGAAGCATAGAGATAAAGAAATTTCCAGCTCTCCAGCAGCTGATAGTGGGTTTCAGTCTAACTATAACAGCCACAACTGGGATCCAAGTGCTGATAATACTCAGCAAAGTTCACAAACATGTCAATTTCCAGCAACTATGGATAGAGATGACGCTTCATCTCAAAATTTGGAAGATATAGCTCTTAAATATCTGAAAATAGATATGGAAGAACACCGTTTCTGTTACATACCACCAAGGGTGGAAGTCAAGAGACGTGACCACCTGCACTATTCACGGAAGAGGGGTGATGGTTCTTTAGGTTACGTTGCCCATGCTGATTACTATATCCTACTTAGAGCATGTGCAAAAGTGGTCCAGGTTGATATTCGTATTATGCATATCGGTATACTCAGTCTAGAAAGAAGATTGGGATGGATTGAAAAGTGGATTGATCATAGTTTGGTGGAAAAATGTTCTGGAGGCCCTGTTGAAAATGTGGATGATTCAGAAGATGAATCTGTTAATTTATCTAACATTAGTATATAATTTTTGGTCTGCCCAGCCATTTTGTGTGTGGTAGAGAGGTACTTTCTTTCTTTGTTGATGGGAAAAATTGCCGGACTTTGGGGATCATCAGCTAATGAAGTCGTCAGCAGTCATTAGTGAGAGCTAGAGACAATTTTCCAGTGTTTGCTTACAAGAATGAATATCTAGAAGAGGTTTCCCAGTGTGCGCAATCAAGTGAGATATCCCTGCTGTCTTTTACTATCCTAGTGTTGAAAAGGTGTGGTGTGAGGGTGGTTTTGTGCAGGTCAAGCTTGAAGAGAAACAGTCTCCAGCTGCAGATTGGTCAGGCTGCAGAGTTTTCCAGAGCTGCTACAGTTGCGTTGCGTTTTGGGGGGATAAATATCAGAGAACTACATGAGTGCACTTTGAGATGGTCTTTTGTTATGTACAGCAGGCAGCAGAAGTGTGCAGATTTGCTACAGTTGTGTAGGGTTTTGGGTGGATGATTATCATGAACTGCACGAGGACACTGTGAGACAGTCTTTTGTTATGGTTCGGCTGGCTGTAAGCTATCTTGCAGCATACCAACATTACCAAGAGGCAGTAAGCATAAATGGTTCTGGTTCAGCATGGTGCAGACTGGGGCAGTGACTCTTGGTAGCCCCTTTCAGCGTGTCAAATGTCAATGAAGGATAAACACTGATTGTGTGTTCTAGGCTCATTGGGTTTGTGGATAAGGGTTGTTTTCCGTAATCAAGGAAGCTTGCAAGCTAGTGAGGAAAGAGCAGTGAGAAGTCTTTGATTTTTGAGGCAAGAGTCATGGACTTAGGACTCTTGTTTTAGCAAGACATAGTGATATGCTGGAAGGCTTGCAACAAAATTTTCTGGTATACAATTCTCTTCAACTCATTAATATGCTCAAGGTGGTTAATTGGTGATTTTTTTTTTTTTTTTTTTTTTGTTGGTTTGTTGGGGTTGGAGGGGGGGGGGGAGAATATTATTTGTTTTGTTCCTTGCTTTGCTATATTCATAGCGAGTAGACCAAATGATTCAATTTCTATCTCATAGGTAGCCCTTACCCTTCATGTGTTTAGGTGGTTAGCGGTTTGACATTGATTATGGATGTAATTGCTTCTGCTTTTGTTTCTTTATCTATATCTATATATTACTATAAAGTGGAGTATGGCAATGCTACTGTAACAAATTTTAATTAGTAATGTACAATAGATTTCTCTATGGACATGCCTCATGCTTGGTTTTGATCTTTGTTTTCATAAAAAAGAAAGCCTGCTTTGTTATCAATTGCCTCTTCTCCAAGTAATAACCCTACAGATGGTTATTTTCTTCACCAGTACTTATCTACCCGCTTCCTGATCTCTAACCTCCCTCCACCTAAAACCCTAATTTATCAAGGTTTTGGATTAGGACTGATTATGGGCAGATCCTTCCTGACGGTTGACCGGAGACTTCTATTGAGAAAGTTATGGCTGGGGGACGACCAAACCCCTCCTCCCCCCCCCCCCCCCCCGCCCGCCCGCCCAAAAAAAAAAAATTACAGAGGTAGCATTGTTGCCTGAGTGATATACCATGGCAGTCACTTCAACCTTACCCCCTTACGTAGAGGAGGGAACATTGTTGCCTGAGTATCTATCGAATAATCCAAAGAGAATAACAATAAGGCACAAGAGTAATTCCTATGCTTTTCACTTTAACCTCATTGGAGATAGACACAGGGAACCATAAAAGAAAAGGACTATAAAGATGTCTAAAGACCAGAAAACACACCAAATAGATGGAGGTTTGCCAAATTGTGACTTCCATTCATTTTGCGTACCCAAATTGAAACTTTTGAAAGTTGAGCACCCAAACTACAACTTAACTTAAAGTTAAATACCTAAGTTTTTACCTAACTTCTTTATATTTTTAACTTATTTGAAAATTGTGTTTTCATGTAATTTATATTCTAAGTTATGTTTCTTGTATCCATTTTCTTGTGGCAAAATTGAAAACATATTTGAACTAACTTATGTGTAGTGACTTTGCCAAGCATCATTATCTTTATGATGCTCATCCAACGTACCTATATGTGTTGTGCTGCAAGTATGTTGCCCTTTGTCTTTTATATTCCTTCTTTTGACAGTGGCTTGCCTTGTGTTTTAGGGTGTTGCAATTAATTGTATCCTTGATTTTTATTATGATAAATGAAAAGAATTCCCAAATTTGTCTTAAGCATACTGATTGTCAAACACCTCATTATAATCAATTTAAGGAGTTCCCAAATTTTCCATAAGCAGGCTAATTGTCAAACACTTTGCATACTGCTTTTAAGTCCTTATATTTTTAGAAATCACCGGCATTACCAAGCTGGTTGTTTATGCACAAACTGATGCTGATATTTGTGAGGTTGCAAACATTTGTGGGGTATTTGTTTCATTGGAATGACATAGAGTTGGGATTTGTAATGTCAAATAGAAAATGCCCATGATTCAGGTTTAGCTTCTCCCTGTTCTCAACTGTAATATACTCCGTATATGCATCACAACTAGTTTATTTGGTAAAATAGGGATGAGTGGTGGTGGTCGTCGTGCCTATGACCTCTTCATCAGCATCCTTTGGGTTCCTTTTACACCAATACACCAAAATAAATGTGAGATTCACGCCTTCAGCATAAGTTTAGATTATTTGAATTTACTCATTTGGTGAAGAAATACACAAGTTTCTAATACAATATTCTGTTTTTAAACTTCAGATTTTGAAATATGCGAGTGAATAATTAATTTCATTTAAGCTAAAACATCGGTTATGTGATGCTTGACTGCATGAAGGTAATAGAATATTTGAATTCCTGATTACTTGCTATTTTGTGTTTATACTACATCTTCCTAGAGGAATTAGTATTTGGCATTTCTTCTTTGATACTTTATAGCTTATAACCCTCATATAGGTTTTATTAAGTGTGTTCAATACTGTTTAATCTCTTCCATCTTTTATGCAGATTTGTGTAGCCTGTATATCGAATAATGCTCTTCACATCAAGGCAAATTTAAACAGTTGCTTATGCATTTGATATCGGTTCTGTAGTGTCTTAGCTGTGTATGGGTAAGTGACTTGGTTCAGGTGCTAAGTTATTGCTTTGTCGTTCCTTGATTAATTTTTTCTTTCTTTTAATTTTTTTTTTACTATGTTCTTCTCTTTTTAATGTTAAATAGCATTCATGTCTCCAGTAGTTCTAAGTGCAAGTTCATTCTGATTCCAAGCTGTCATATACTCATCCTGATTCTTAAACCAAATTAAAGTATACGATGTATTTGTGGAAATGATTCTAACTGGGCTTAAGGCTTAAATCTTAACAAACATATGTTCTCTGTCAGGTCTGTGTTATGGACCAGATTTTGCACAGTCACAATCACACTAATTTATACGAATTTAAGGCAAAAGCTTGAGTATTGATAGGAAGATAAATATAGCTTTAGGCTATAACTCTCATGGTAGCTTGAGGCTACTAATCTCACATCAATCACTCAATTTCTGGATGGTTGCTACTGCTAAACAAAATGCCTGATATACTACAGCTACTCTCAAGCAAATACAATGCCCTAATATTAATTAAAGTTGTCTTCTAGCCTACAAAAGCATAGCAAGGTGCAGTGGCCATGGCACCAAGGAAAATCAGTTGTCTTCTTGTCTTCTTTCCATATTTGGCTTGCTACCAAAGTCTACTGTTCTTCTTGTCCCTTTTTACTTCCTGTTATGATCTTTGTCAACCCTTTTGTCAACCCTGGGCCTCCTTGTATAAACCCGTATTGGATTGTGGGCCATCTGGGTCTGGGCCGTATGTGGATCCATAACAGTCTCATGCTTGATTATGTGAGCGGGTTTTATCAATATAAACCTGATAGGAGTATTCTTTGTTGAATTGATCTATTGTTGCTCTCATTGCACACCTTGGGTTGGTTGTTTTCACTGGCAGGATGGACCGAATCCCTGTTCCATGGGCTTTGCCTAAGATACTTTGAAAGACTAAAGATTGCTCGTGTAATCTTGAATATACTTGATTTGAACCTTGTTGGATTGCCATTATGCCCGAGATTTGCTTCAGATTTCTGATTAATTCACTAAGGTTCTTATACTCTTTACCTGTTGATTTTAGTACTTTTTAGTCAAGAACGATGCAGTGTTCATGTTCAGAAAATTGAAAAAATATGTCAGATATTCTGAGGAATTCTTTTCTGTGGCAAATGTGTCCTGTATCTCTGTAAGAGTTGCCTATGAAATTGAAGAGGTGGTTGGCGGTGGTGGTGGTGATGGTGGTGGCGGTGGCGGTGGTGGCGGCTGTGTGGTTAAGGAAGGAGCAAGGGGTGGGGAATTGACACCCTGAGAGTAAAAGTTTTATACCAACCTTGGGGAAATACAAGTATACCAGTACAACGCCCATTATGAGCATAATAGTTCTCTATCCACCCTTTGGGCAATGTACCCTTAATACTAGCGTGATAACACCCCCCCCCCCTCCCCTTCAATAATCCAAGCTTGCACTAATCTCCCTTCAAGATCTGTACTGCTGTAACTACTCTAATTAAAAGCGAGATTATGTACTTTATACTTTCGGTCTTTTGCAAGTTTTTTCACTCATCTTTGTTCTCAGGCACCACCTGGGTTCACAGCCACAAGATTATCAAGTCATCCAACATTTTACTCGATATGGAGCTATAATCATCGAATGTGGTTCAGCAACTTTGTATCAGCAATTTACCAGTTTCAGTTGACAGCTCCCATTGACCACGGCTACTTGATTTGTGTTGGCTGTGGATGAGTTAAATAAATGTGAATTCTACTGGTTTATTCGTACTACTTCATTATCCTGGATTTTACTGCTAAGACTGCATTCTTTTTTTGATGACTATAAGTGCCCTGAAGATATGTGACATCTATTTTATTTGTTCTCTTCTTTATGATCTGTGGCTGACATTATACCCTTTTAAGAGATTTTGAGTTATTCTCGCGGTGTTAGATCTGTAAACAACTGATGAAGCTAGGAAGAACAATTTTGAAACTCGTCACAATTAACAGTAATGTTGTTTTCTAAAATGATTGTATAAATGTATATTTGTAACCAGAACTAAACAATAAATTGGGATCATTACAACTTATAACAAGTTTTTATAAAAATCTACAAACGTTTGTCCCAAAAATAAATTATAAAATATTAGTTGCATTATTACCCAAAACAGACTAAAAAAAGTTCGTGGTAATGGAAAAGGGTTTCAAGTGTCTAGAACCAAAAAAAAGTACATGATAAGTTTGGCCATGTTCTTATACTTGTATGTTGTAACTTGTTTGTTTGTATAAGTAACATACGCAATACTTTCACAGTTCACCAAACTGCTCTCATTAATTCAGATATGTTAGAAAAGTTTCGGACATGAAATTTAGTACCATAAAAAAAAGTTATTTTAATTCAGAATTTCACTTTCTTTTTTAAAAAATAAATATATGGAGTACTACATATAATAGTATAATAAACTGGTGTATTATGAAAGATTGATGGAACTCTGTAACTCACCATACAATTTCATGAGATCACTGCCACATAACATAAATGCAGAAACGTCGCTTGCAACTTAACTCTATTCCAACCATTACCAGTATACTTGTATTTGAGCTCTAATTTCTTTTTAAAAAACAAAGAAAGTGCATCTAATACCACCATCTAAGCAATTTATCAACAATTTAATGTTTATCACTTAAAAACCATAAAGTATTCTTTCAAAAAAAAAACCATTAAGTAACAACAAATTTAGCATAATAGGTAAATTCATTAGGAAGTACGAGTTCGAAGTATGTACTACTTACATAAAACTTCATTGATTCTAGTATTAACTCTTGGGATTTATTAGCTTGTGCTGTAATTGAAGCTCCATCATATCTTAATCGATCATCATTTTTATCTTAGGCCCTGTTCACTTCATCTTATTTTTGCTTAACTGAAATTATTTTTATTGAACTGAAATTATTTTGCTGAACTTAAATTATTTTTACTGAACTGAAATTATTTTTGCTGAACTGAAATTATTTTAACTGATTTTCTGTTATATTTCTTCTTTAAAGTTACTGATTTTTACTGCACTGAAATTATTGTTACTGAACTGAACTTATGTTTGTTGAACCGAAATTAAGATACTTGATTAATTTAACTTGACCTTTATATAATATTGATACTTTGGATTCTGAAAAATGGGTTTAAGTACTATATTTCATACTATCTATCTCTATTCTATTAAAGGGTAAATTAGCTTTTTTAAAGGCAAGGAGAACTGCCCTAATGGGTAAGAACTCCTTGTTAACCTAACCTAAATTAGCTATTAGACACTTTGAGAGTGAGGATACATGATAAACTATTGACTTGCATACAATTCTAGTAATTTACTATTTAAAATACGTATTATACACATATACTCCCTTGTTTTATTTATCATCATATACTTATATTGTTATTCTTATTTATTGTATATGATTAATATATTTAAATTAATAACGTGATAACTAACTTTAAAACTTGGTTGAAGAAACTATAAACAATGACAAAAAAGAAAAAAAGAAAAAAAAACAGAGTAGGATTACAAGACGATGACACGATTGACAAAAATTGACGTGACTAGCTACCATAGTAATTTGATTTAAGTGATATCCCTCAATTGGTTTACAAGTTGTCAACTACTATGCTCAATACCAATGATCATCAAATTAGAATTCATATTTAATCATTTCAATATTGAATTTTTCATTATAATCTTCTAGATGGGCAATCAGATAGTGTTTACCGACTTAATAACCAACAAAATTTCGACACATGTCATCTCTATATATAATTCCTAATTAAAGAAAAAGGCAACTTGTCTTCTAAGATCAGATATTTTAAATTAATATAATTTAATTTGATTTATTACCTCTTTTAGATAATTTATTTTATAATGTTATATAATGATTGCATTTTTTCTGTGTTATTACTACTAATCCACTACATATCGCAAAAAACTCCATTGTAAAAGAAGATACCAAATCTTATTTTAATTTACTGGTGAAATGTTCCCGTCTTAGGGAGCACGAAGGATGAAATAAGTAAGCTTAATTGTATATCTCTATTTTTTATTTTATTTATGGTCCATGCAAATATATACAGAGTATTCATAATTTTAAAGTGTTGTAAAATGCTTCTTAGCTATACTGGCCACTTTGCCTTCTATTACAAGGGAAATTACTGTCTTAAGTTTCCTCATTTTGTCGTAGAGTAAGGATGTGTTCTATTTACTTGATTTTTACTTTTTTTGACTTAATTGAACTTATTTGAACTTATCTAAATTTAACTGAATTTATTTAAAACTTATTTTAGTTGTAATTAGATCTTGGGTAACCCTTATCAGAATTTATTTTTCCTGAAATGAACTTATCAGAACTTATTTTTCCAAAACTGAGCTTATCAGAACTTATCAGCAACCGGGTCTGCAACTCCTTTAAAGTAGGAACGAAACAAATCCTATAAGTTAACTGAACTTATCTAAACTTATTAGATTTGAAATAAGTGAAAATAAGGTGAACAAAACAGGTCTAATTCTTATGTAAATTACGATTGTATGAACTATGATACGATAAAAGTAACATGTACAAATGTTCAATACTCCATATATAAGTATGAAGTAGTATAATTGAATAGTAAATAATTATAGGGTGAATTTTATTTTGTCTTATGATATGAGCCTGTCTCAAACTACAAATGTAGAGTCTAATTTTGTCTCCTCGAGTATACAATTCAACCTAGGGGCATGCCAATAATGAATTAAATGGTCGAATTGTAATAGTTGTAAAGAATAAAAGAAGAATGATACAAATTGAAATTTCTTTGAGTTTCCTAATTATGGTGTTGAGCTGAGGTTATAAAAGAGATATTGTACTTCTATAAAAATAATAAAGTGTAGGATAATTTTGATCTCATTTGAAACGGAAATTAAGATAATTTATTTGTAAGTGTAATAATTTATTATTTGATGTTGTTGATAAGTATATTAGGTGACTCGTACTTCGTAGCTTTGTCCGCCCGATCGGGCGGACATTGCCCGGTCTGACCGGGCGGAAGAAGAAGAGGTGCCTGGCAAATTCGTTGAAGAAGCTGCTCTCGCGCCCGACCGGGCGAGCCTTCGCCCGACCGGGCGAGCCTTCGCCCGATCGGGCAGACCTTGCCCGGTCTGACCGGGCGGTGGGGGTTGGATACGTTGAAGCATTCGTATGGAGTTTTCTTCTCGCGCCCGATCGGGCAGACCTTGCCCGGTCTGACCGGGCGGAGAAGGAAAAATGCGGAGACGCGGATTTTACGATTTAAAGTTATCTTTTATGTTATCTTTTTTGCCCAAGTATCTTTTATTTTAGGGATTAATATAAAACCTCCCTAATATTAGTATAAGGGTGAAGAGAGAGAGAGTGAGAGCCGTTCTTGAGAAATACAAGAATCATCTTTGTAATCTTTGCAGTTTATAGTGAAATCATTCGATCTCGGTGCCCGTGGACGTAGCTATCACATCGATAGTGAACCACGTAAATTCTTGGTGTTGTTCTTATTGTTTGCATTGAATTTCTTTATTGTTTTCTTGTTTGTTTTCGACCTTTGCTTCCGCTGTCGCACAACAATTGGTATCAGAGCTCAGGTTCAATCCTTGGAGAGTTTCTTGAAGATAACAATGGCAGGAGATTCAACAATAAGAATTGAGAAGTTTACCGGGAAAAATAGTTTCGGGCTATGGCAAATTAAGATGAAGGCTCTGTTAAAACAACAGCAGATATGGCGTCCGTTGGCTCCAAAGAGTACTACTTCGGAGTCAGGAGACGGACCGACTGACTCGCAGTTAGAAGTTATGGAAGAGAAGGCACACTCTACCATATTACTTAGTCTTGATGATCAAATCATCACGGAGGTTGCTGATCAGGAAACGGCGGCTGGATTGTGGCTGAAGCTGGAGTCATTGTATATGACTAAGTCGTTGACCAACAAATTATTACTGAAACAGCGGTTGTTTAGCCTCCGGATGCAGTCAGGTACTTCCTTACGGGAACATCTAGAAAAACTTAACTCTATTTTGCTTGATTTACGTAATTTAGATGTTAAAATTGATGATGAGGATGCTGCGTTGATTTTACTTGTATCTCTACCGTCTAGCTTTGAGAATTTTGTAGAGTCTTTTGTTGTTGGTAAGGATTCTATAACCTTAGAAGAAGTGAAGGCAGCACTTCATACTAGGGAACTCAGAATGAAAGCTACGAGTGATAATGGGGATAATGGTAGTGGGTTATTTGTTAAGTCCGGAAAGTCTAAAAAGAATAAGGGGTTTAACAAGGGGAACAATGCTGGGTCGGGTGCTGGAAACGGCAAGGATGGATCTAGTAAAACTACTACTAAAACATGTTATTACTGTAAAGAACCGGGTCACTTTAGGAATAATTGTCCGGTGAGGAAAAACAAGTCCCAGGCTGCTGTAGTTGAAGAGAAACCGAATGAGAGCTATAATTCAGAGGAAGATTTAGCATTAGTCAGTTCTGCTAGGTCTGATGATTTATCTGATAACTGGGTTCTAGATTCGGGGTGTTCGTTCCATATGTGTCCACGTCGAGATTGGTTTGATACATATGAACCTCGCAATGGGGGTATGGTTATAGTCGGTAACAATGCTCCATGTAAGGTCACAGGTATTGGTTCCATGAGGTTGAGGACTGTTGATGGGCGGAGGTTAACTTTGACTAATGTACGGCATGTTCCTGCTTTAGGAAAGAATCTGATTTCATTGGGTACCCTGGATGAATTGGGGTACAATGGTGTGTTTTCAGATGGGGAGTTGTGTATTTTCAGAGGTTCTGAGT